GTCCCCTGGAGAAGGGAAAGGCTACCCACTCCAGTATTCTGGCCTGGAGAATTCTATGGACTGTACAGTCCATGGGGTTACAGAGAGTCGGACATGACTGAGTGACTTCATTTTCACGTACTCACTAACGAAATTTGCCCACAGCTCTAGCTGAAGAGGGGAGAGGTGTAAAAGGATGTCCACTGGGAGGGAAACAGACCCTCGGCCCCAGTCTCTTTTGTGATGACAGTCCCAGGGAGGACATAGCAGGACAGACAGGGAAGAGTGGTTCATCCAGTAGCTGCAATGCTCTCCAACAGCTAACCTTTCTTAAGGAGTGAAATAATCCATTACTGACTTTAACTAGAAAACATCTTACATAGCCATATACATATGTACACATATATATTTTTATATATGTAATTAGTTATATATTTTTATCTAGAAACATAAATTGAATTTTTCAGTGTTCTGTGGCTCTTAGCTAAATTTGCTGAAACACTTTTGTGTGAGGTAGTTCCATTCTTTTGTTAAAAATATTGATAGAGATTAAGCCTGAGTATTGTAAATATCTCACTGAACCAAGTAAAGAACTCCTCAGGCCTCAACAAAATAACATTCTCCACCAGTAAAGGTATTCTGTACTCTCCCAATTCTCCCAAGGAGTCCAGTACACTGTGATCTGAAATCAGCCTCCAAAGGGTGTTTCTCATTTTTCTTTTAAGTGGACAAAAGAACCCGCAAATTGTGAGGTTTCAGGTGAGTTTTAGGAAGCCATATATTGTTTGTGTTCTCTTGATTTTATCTGCAGGGACTGGGAGAAGTCATTTGTGTTTTCATTGTTCGCTAAATACTAAAGACCTTTCCTGCTTCAGGAAGGCAGAAGGGGACTCAAGCTTTACATTTATCTATGAGCTGTTCCCCAAAGGGGCCGTGTCTGTCTTCCTCACCTCTGTGTCCCAGGGCCTTGCACAGTCCTCGGTGCCTAAGTAGATGCAGTATTTGCTAAATTAATGAATGACTAAATAAGTTGAATAAAAGATTCACTTAGAAGTTCTTATATGGGTCTGTAAGACATGTTTAGACCACAGGGCTCCAGTGACACGTCAGCTGCTGAGACGTCTGGTGAGGAAGCTCCATGTGGATGCAGTGTCACAAACCTCCTCCCTCAGAATCCAGGCACTCAACAGCAGAAAGTGTGTCCCCTAGGTACCACTGTCTCTTAGGGGCATCCATAATGCCAGGGGGGTTAAGACACAATCTTAAGCATTTGATGAGAACCTTAAAAAGTATATTTGACACGACTTTGAGTTTTGAAAGTTAGGTTTCTAAGGAGCCCAGGGGCCAAGGAATCTGGGATTGGAGGCACCGACTTGCCTGCTCTGGCCCACCTCCGAGCCCCCTGGCCGGCATCCTTCCCCGTGTGCACAGACGGGTGGCTCAGCGGCAGCTGAGGCACAGAGGTTAGCTGACTCAGTCTACCCTGGCTTTAGAAAGCTACAACAGTTAAAGACCTGAACTCATAAAGAAGCGTATTTTCTGATTTTGAGGGGATCTCTGCAACTAGTACTCAGGGCCACTTATTTTCACGGCAGCTCCTCTGCAGAAGTGGCCTGATTTCTCCTTTTCACCCTCAACCTCCAGTCTTAAGTCCTGAAACCATATCAGCATTTCTACTGGGAAATTTCTGACAACTGAAGTGCTGCTGGGACATATCCTTTTTAATAACAGAGGTGGTGCAGCTAGGGCTGCAGTTAAGCAGCCATCTCAGTTGCAAGGTACGAGACTCAATGATGGGAAATGGAGAAAGACATACTTTTCTTGCCTGGGAGGGGTCTGTGCCAAACCTTCAAGCGAGCACATGTATTTTATCTTTACGTGAAATGAAAAACAAAGCCTGAGAAGATAAAATATTTTAAAAGACTCTAATGCTCAGAATCTAAAATCACTGCTCTTCTTTACTCGTATATCTGATGCGAGAGTGTGTCTGTGGAGGAGAGATTATCCAGTAACACATGGACTGTGCTTCTCTTTTTATGTCAGTTCTCAAGGTTAGTATTAAGAAGAAAAGAAGACATCAGAAGTCAAAATACGTGGAAGTAAGAAATGCCTTAAATTTTTAGAAAATCACAATTATGCTTTCATTTAGTAAGCTTTACAAGGCAAGCAGAAGTGATTCCTTAAGTGACGAACGTGGGGAAATGAAAGGACAAACTGAGACACAGCTCCTCAGACAGCTTTTCCTATAAAACAGGGTCACGTGGGGGCGGGGCTTGGTCTCCCCAGCCCCTCAGACAGCAGCCTCACCCGGGTGTTTGCTGAGCCCGCCACCTGCCCACCCTGCGTCCACCTCGGGGTTGGAGCAGCGGAGGGGGGTTTCCAGTGTTGTGCGGGAGCCAGGTATTTAAAAACGTGTAAACAAACACGGCATGACTGCTTGTAAGAGATACGGTAGAAAAAAAGGATGCGGGCTATGAAAGAATGAGGTGGGGGAGAGGTCAGCAGTGGTAGAGGAGGCTTGGGTCAGTGAAAGCCTTTCTGAGCTGACATTCGAATTGAAACTTGCAGGATGGGGAGTCAGCGGTGCAAAGAGGGTCAGGTCGGGGGCAGGGAGGTGGGGTTCTGGGCAGAAGAAACAGCAAGTGTCTGAGGCAGCATACCCTGCTCCTCTCTGTCTCTCTGTCTCTCTGTCTCTCTCTCACACACACACACAGACACACTCCCTTCCTTGGAAGGCCAACGAGTCAGAGACCTGTGGGTTACTGCACAGATGGGTAGGAAGCCTCCCATGAGAGAAACAGATGGAGTGGGGCCAGGGGCCCTGGACAAGGGGACAGGGGAGGAGGAAGAAGGGAGGCCAGGCCTGCCCTCCCCTGGCTGCCTGGACAGCGGCTGAGCAGCACCCTCCCTGAGCGTCTCGAGTGCCCCGCTCGGCGTCCTGCTCTCCCTGCTGTCTCCCTCACTCCTCACCTCGGGGTTGCCCAGAGCTGTGGGTTCTACATCCTTACTGACACCCCTCAACTCCCCCACAACCCTGCTCCAGCCCCTTGCCACTGTCTCGGAGCCAGCTATCACATCCTTCTCCAGGATGACTGCAACACAAATATGCAGAGGACACGGGCTTCGGCCGACTGTGGGCCGACTCGCCCACAGACAGGCTTGGGCTTTCTCTCCCGAGGGCATGGCCAGCTGTTGGTAGAAAAGCTGGGTCCACCTATTTCTGAGCCAGAGAGAGCAAGAAATCCAGTTCCCTTTTAAAACTAAGTTTTCCAAACTGCTTTCTCTTGGCCGGGCTCCCTCCTGACGTGGAGCTCAGCCGTCCCGCCCCGTCCTTCCGGAGTGCGGTAACACTCCTGGCACTCCCTCTTTCCACTTGTTTAAGGTCACACTGAATTTATGTGGTAGGAGATTTGTGCCTTTCTTTCTGTTCCTGGCTGTCCCCCGTAAACCCACAGTTCTCCTGCATCCAGTGAGGTTTTGACAATCCCCAGAAGCTCTCAGGCCAGGATGGTCCGTCCAGACCCAGTCCTGCACCCTCCAGACCGTGATGCCAATTTAGGAAGGTCTGAGACATCACGCATCCACCACAAGCCACAGTAAGCATTCCCATATTAGAGGAACTTTGCACAGCAAATGTAGCCTTGTCCTGGGCAGTCTGTGTTCAGAGCTTGTACATGTTTTCAAAGGGACAGGGAAAGATGGGGGGCTGTGTCTAGGCTGCTATAGTTAGGGGGCTGACCCCGAGCAGAGGAACTCTGCCTGGCAGCTGACGACATAGGGCAGCCTGTGACCAGGAGACCTGGATTCTGATTCCCACTCAGCCTGAGTCAGGCAACGGAGGCTCCACATTTTCCCCACAAAAGGTCAAGCCCTTGACCACTTTAACCACCAGCTCCCGTTCTTATGCTGTATCAACCAGTCTACAAACCTCTCCAGTAACTAATGAGTGTGTCAAGTGATTTTAAGCACACTTCTCAAACCAAGAACAGGATTCTGTATATGAAATCAATGTCAGTATGACCCTCTTTTCTTTCAGAAGGGATCTGAGGTGGACTGCTGCAGCCCAACAGTGGGTTAGTCAAAGATGATTAGAAAAATCAGGATTAAGGGATCAAGGACAAATCAGACTCTGCCCATGAAAGCAGAATGGGCTAACACGGGGCTCTACGGGACTCCAAACTAGGCTCTGGATTGTCCAGTATCCAGGGCAATGGGGAAAACACCATAGAAGCTAAAGGGAAAGTGAAACTAGGTGGGCCGCTGGTGGAATGACAGGACATTCCATGAATGAATGAATGAATCATGTAGAAGTCTCTGTGTGTTTAGCAGGATGGAGAACAGCAAGGACTTGACCTGTGACCACATAAGACCTGTCCAGGGTTGGCTTTCTCACATACAAGCTATGAATAAGAAACATCTCCTTTCCCTTCTTCAGATGATTCATCATGGTGGGCTTTGAATTTCTTGGCGAGAGAGGTCACATAAAATTGTTATTTTGTGGAAAAGGTTTAATGTCCCCATCTATAAAGTCATCAGGTGGTGGACGGAACCCTGATGATGTCAGTACCTAGCAGGGAGACCAGGTTATGATGGGACCCAATCCAACTGCACACAGTATTGGGTCTGGGATTAGTCTGGAGATGCTTCTGACCTAGGAAACAATTTTTGTGAATCCCATTTGCAGCCTTTTACCTGGATGAAAATCTAGGTCTCCATGTAGAAAAATGTGAATTTTGTGGTGGAAATTTCCACCTGGAGCCAACAGAGTTCTCCAGTGTTCCCCTGCAGATGCCTTTGAAAGAAAGGCCCACAATGCGGCTTTGTTTCAGTAACTTACTCCCGCTGTCTGCTTTGCTCCTTGTGCCTTCCTGTTCTTCATGTGCACGGGGCCACGCCTGGGCCTGCAGCGCGGGAAGCACATCTGGAAACCGAATCAACGGATTCCTG